GAAAAGATGAAAAGTTTTGACACAATGATAAAATTGGATGGTTACAATTGGCAAGTATGGAAGTTCAATATGAAAGATATTTTATATTGTAAAGATTTACATGACCCTATTAGGGGAGATGAAGCCAAACCAAAAAACAAGATTGATAAAGAATGAGAGAAACAATATAGAAAGGTGACCAGTTATATTCAGATGTGGATCGACGTTAGTGTGTTTCATCCTGTATCGGGTGAGACTAATGCGAAGTCTCTTTGGAAGAAGCTTGAGGATCTCTACGAGCAGAAGACCGCAGGAAACAAGAACTTTATTATGAGGCGGTTGGTGAACTTAAAATTCCAAGAATGAAGCAACATAGCAGGGTACTTGAATGAGTTCAAGAGTTTGATTAATCAGTTAGCTACCATGAAGATGACTATCGATGATGAGCTATAGGCTTTATTACTATTGGGTCTTTCCCAGACAGTTGGGAGACACTGGTTATGACAATCAGCAACGCAGCTCCAGATGGTGTGTTATCGATGAGTATGGTTACTAGTAGTTTATTCAATGAGGAGACCTGGAGGAAGTCTACTAGCACAAATAACTCACAGACACTTGTCACAGAGAATAAGGGTAGGAGCAGATACAGAAACCAGTCTAGAGGTTGTGACACATCCAAGGGCAGATCAAAGTCTAAAGGGAGAGATTGTTTTTATTGTGGGAAGCCATGTCATATCAAGAAGAATTGTTGGGCATTAAAGAAAGAGCAAGCTGGGAATAAAGATGAAAAGAAAGATGAGAAGAAGAAAGCTGACAGTGACACTACAGTTACTTTGTCTGAGACCGATGTTATTCTCATTTGCAGGGAAGAAGACTGTATGCATGTTACAAGTTAGAATTCCGAGTGGATAGTGGATACAAGAGCTACATATCATGCTACCTTCAATCGAGACATTTTCACGTCGTATAAAGCATGTGACTTTGGCAATGTGAAGATAGGCAATACTAGCTACTCGAAGATTGTGAGACTTGGTGATACACACTTGCAGATAGATACCTGATGCACATTGATCTTAAAGAATGTGCGGCATGTTCTCAATTTGTGGCTCAACTTGATTTCGGGTCTTACTTTGGACCGAATGGGATATGTAATTTAATTTTGTGGAGAAAAATGTAAAACAACCAAAGGCTCTCTTGTGGTGGCTAGAGAAAGTATACGTTGCAATTTATATAAGACTCAAGCAAAGGCTTCATATGATTCTTTGAACGTGGCTCAAGACGGTGACACTCTCAGTTTGTGGCATAGGAGGCTCGGGCACATAAGCAAGAGAAGGGGTTGTAGATATTAGCAAAAAAGTCTCTCATTCTTTTTGTCAAAGGTTCGTCACTCACCCCTTGTGATTATTATTTGTTTGGCAAGTAACATAGAGTTTCTTTTAGTAAGCCTTCTAAAAGAAAGGATATTATCCTGGATTTGATTTATTCTGATTTTTATGGTCCTACTGAGGTGGAGTCCTTGGATGACAATAAGTATTTTATCATATTTATTGATGATGCATCGCAGAGGATGTGGGTCTTCTTATTGAGACAAAGGACCAGATGTTTTCAGTCTTCTATTAGTTTCATACCACGGTGGAGAGGCAGACATGAAAGAAGTTGAAGTATTTGTGCACCGATAATGGAGGATAGTACACTTCCATTGAGTTTAAAGATTATTGCTCCAAGCATGATATTCGGCATTAGAAGATAGAGCCCGGCACATCACAACATAATGGAGTTGCAGAGAGGTACAACAGGACCATTGTGGAGAATGTCAGATGCATGTTGAAGATGATGAAGTTACCTAAGAGCTTCTGGCTGAAGCTGTTCGCACTGCATACTACATAATCAACAGGTCTCCTTCAGTTCCTTTGCGTTTTGATATTCCAAAGAGAGTTTGGTCTAGAAAAGATATTTCCTATTCTCATCTGAAGGTGTTTGGTTGCAAGGCATTTGCACACATTCCGAACGAGAAGAGACAGAAGCTTGATGATAGAGTGGTTCCTTACATCTTCCTTAGTTATGAAGAAGATGAGTTCAACTACAAACTATGGGATCCAGAAAAGAGACGAATCATCTGACGAGCAGATGTGATTTTTTAGGAGGATCAGACTATTGCAGATCTCGGGAGAGCAGAGCAGTCAAAGAGTGTTGCTAGTGAGATTCTAGATATGACACCCATTTTGTTTTCAGTACAGTTGCATCCTATAGATATAGAGCAGGTACATGATGATGATGTTGATGATGACGATCAAATCTCAGAGCAGGGAGACGGTGATCAGGATCACGAGTAGGAGGCTCTTCAGTAGGGGAAGCATCACCAACAACAAGAGTTTACAGAGCCACAACTTAGTAGATCAGCTAGAGAGCATCGACCATCCATAAAATATCATCTTTCAAAGTATTCTTTGCTGATAGAAGAGGGGGAGCCTGAAAGCTTTCAGGAGGTACATACTCATAAAGATAAGGACAGATGGTTCTAGGCTATGAAGAAAGAGATGAAGTCTCTTGAGAAGAATGATAGTTATGAGTTGGTGGATTTGTCGAAGGACAGAAAAACTTTGAAGAACAAGTGGGTGTTCAAGTTAAAGAAAGATGACTACAAAGAGATTTAGAAATACAAAGCCAGATTAGTAATGAAAGACTTTGGTCAGAAAAAATGCATTAATTTTGATGAGATTTTTTCACCGGGTTGTGAAAATAACGTCCATTAGAGTTATATTGGGGTTAGCAGCAAGTTTAGACCTCGAGATTGAGCAGCTTCATGTGAAGACTGCATTCTTTCATGGTGATTTGGAGGAGGAGATCTACATGGAGTAGACAGAGGGTTTTGAAGTGAGGGAAAAAGAACACATAGTTTGCAGGTTGAAGAAGAGCCTTTATGGTTTGAAGCATGCACTCAGGTAGTGGTACAAGAAATTTGATTATTTCATGTTGAGTCATGGCTACTAGAGGACAAGTGCAGATTCATGTGTATATTTCAGGAGAATTTCAAATTTTAGCTTCATTATCCTTTTTCTTTATATGGACGATATGTTGATTGTTGGTCAGAATAGTCAGATAATCGATGGGCTGAAGGAGTTATTTAAATCTTTTAACATGAAGGATTTGGGCTCGGCACCGCAGATTTTTAGTATGGATATTGATAGTGATAGGAAAGCCAGGAAGTTGTGGTTATCACAAGAGAAATATGTTGAGCGGCTAGTTGATAGATTCAACATAAAAGATGCCAAGTCAGTCACTACTCCTCTTGTAGGTCATTTGAAGCTTAGCAAAACGTTTTACCCGACTGCAGATAAGGAAAAGAGTGAGATGGAGAATATTCCTTACTCTTCAGCTATAGGGAATTTGATATATGTCATGGTTTGCACTCGGCCAGATATAGCTCATGCAGTTGGCGTTGTGAGCATATTTCTTTTTAATCCAGGAAAAGTTCATTGGGGATGTGTAAAATGGATCTTAATATATTTGAAAGGAAGTTCTAGATTGTGTTTGAGTTTTGGAGGTTCGAAAGCAGTATTATATAGTTTTGCAGATACGGATATGGTAGGTGATCTCGATCACAGGAAGTCAACCTCAGGTTAGTTGTTCACTTTTGCAAGGGAGCAGTATCTTAGCAGTTCAGATTACAGAAATGTGTTGCTTTATCTACAACAGAGGCGGAATATATTACAGCGACAGAAGCCGGTAAGGAGATGATTTGGTTGAGAAGATTTCTGCAGGAGTTAGGCTTGCAGCAAGACAATTATCAAATCTTCATTGATAGTCGAAGTGTTCTTGATTTGAGCAAGAATTCTACATTCAACTCCAAGAGGAAACACATTGATATGAGATATCATTGATTTAGAGAAGCCGTTGAGAAAGAGGAGCTAAAACTACAGAAGATTCACACGGATAAAAATACAGCAGATTTTTTAACGAAAACTTTTTTCAGAGAGAAGACCGAGTTGTGTCGGCGATTAGCCGACATAAACTCCCGCTGAGGAGTTACAGATTGGCATACCCCCTCGTTGGGCTGAATGGGGAGATTGTTGTGGATCCAGGCCAAGATAAGCCCACATGAGGTCCACATAAATTAAAATTCTATTTAGAAGATGATTTGGAGAATCTAGTTGTAATAGGGATATGTTTGGAGGACCTGAAAATAAAATTTCTTTATAAAAAAATTCTATTCATGATAAGCCTGTAATTTTTTCTTGATACTACAGTAATTTGTGAATAGTAACCCGGGAGAAGAAAAGAGGGGAGAAAAATTCAGATTCCGGATAGTTCGTTTGTCCGATTACAGTGATTCAAAAGCCGTTGTCTTCAGAACGACGACGTCGTCGAGGGTAGGGTGTTGGTTTCTCCGCGGGTGTTGGAGATATTCGGTGAGACAGGTTTTAGGATTTTGGTGCCCTAGAGGTAACACTATATATTTCTTTTGTGATTTAATCCTTAAGTTTAGGTATAACTTGGAAGGATTGTACTCTTGATTCATAGTGAAATATTTCTCTCTGGATTACCCCGTGGACGTAGGCATGATTTGTCGAACCACGTTAAATATTGGTGTTTGCTTGATTGTGATATTTTCATTGGTATTGTTATTCGTTTAGTGTTTACTTCCGCAAATCAATCTCCATAAAATCTCAAACAATAAACAATCCAACTTTGGTGCCGTCCTATGACAGCAATCTCCCTTTCAATTAATTTAGATATTTTGTCACATATTAATTAATTAATAGATTTAAGAGGGTGTAGTTTGCCTGTGAGTATTAAAACTCAAGCATGTGGAGCTCATGATGTGGCTTGGTCAAAAGAGCAGGTTGCGCTTGGATTTTCTAGGTATCATACTAATCTAGAATAAATTAACATTTTGCTGACCTATCTTACAACTATATGAAGAAATCTAAAAATGCAAGTAGCACACGCAAGTTACGCAGGACAATATGTACCCTCATTCGTGGCTAGTAATATGAGAAAGTGGACGCAAATGAACGCCATACCTTAAAATTGATCTTTTATTGTTATTCAATCAACAATTATCAAAGCTGAGCGCTCAAAAGCATTCAGAGTTCTCTAAACGTACTTGTAGCTTTGATAGAAAACTCAAAGACTCGCTAGTAGAATTTTTATGAGCGTGACAACACATTTTCTCTGCTTTTGTAAACTCCAGATTTCCTCCTCTTTTCCCCCACATTTTTGTAAAAAGTACATATGTTAGCACTTCGAATGGCTGTATTGAGACTGCAGGCATTTGCGAGGGAAGTGCTCACATAAAGTAATCATGATGTCCAAGTATAAAATCGACATACAGACCGCAAAGTGACTCTAATTTTCTCTGATTATTGATCTTCATACTTCTTAATTTGGCACCTTCAAGCTGCTTGTATGAAGCTTCTGTGGCGAGCTATAATGAACCTTTCAAGGCCTGTTGGAATGAGTTCAGATACTAGGACAATATCTATAAATGTAACGAATTGTAAGATGCATAATGAATCTTTTGGAATGAGTGCAGATATTAGGACAATATCCGTATATGTAACGAATTGTGAGATGCATAAAACTCTGTCAATTCCGTAAGTAGAAATGAAAAGATACAAGCTAAGTTGTTCATATTCATGTTGTTCAAGGGACAGAGAATAGCAATGAACACTGATGAACTATCAAACTCTTCCCCCTTTTTCCTTTTCCTATCCTTGTTTTTTTCCTGTGTCCGGGTATTAGTTCTTGTTCCTTCAATTCTCGTCCGTGTTATCAGTTTTTCAAAGTTCCTACCTATTCCATAGTGCCTTGAGCTTCCAGCTCCTAAGTGTTGTAAAAGATCTAATCCTCACGATTGGAGTAATTTCACTAAACTGATTGTTTAAAAAGGAGCAAGGAAATCATGAGAATGAGAAGAGCTTCTTGTGAATAAATCCAACTAATGAAAAACAATAGAGCAATATCTCATCGAAATGTTGCATTAGTCAGGTTGACGACATGGTGATGGTTAGGAGTATGTGCGCTAGGAATGGATGAGTACAGGTAAATTTCACTAGTGTTAGCAAGGAGTACACGGGAAGCACTAACATTCAAAATCACACTATTTTTTATTGAAATTAAAATGGGTTATTTGACAAAACCCCCTACACTTTGGGAGGTTGCACATACCCCCCCTAAACTTTTTTGTTTCACAAAAAGCCCTGAATTTTGGGTTGACTCACAAAACCCTCCTGAAGTTTGAACTTTTCTCAACAAGAAACCCCATCCATAATTGGGAAATAATTAAAATGTCACTGAGAGGAAAACCTTCAACTGGCGGGAGAGTGGTTGCCTCTAAATGGCAAAGGCCTAAATTGGGGTGTTTTTTTTTCTCTCTCTCAAGCACATTTTAGTTATTTGCAGATAACAGGCAGGGGGTCTGTTGAGGAAAGCATAAAGTTTGGGGGTTTTTTTGTGAGACACCCCAAAGTTCAGGGCAGTTTTGTGAGATAAACAAAGTTCAAGGGGGTCATGCATAAGACTTCCCAAAGTTCAGAGGGGTTACGTGCAAAAGCCCCCAAAGTATTCCGGAAATTAACCCATCAAATAACTTAGTTCGCCGTGCCATAAAGATCTTATGCTACATTCTCTAACCAGCAGAATAGGAGGAAAAGAACTAGCTAACAGAACCTGACTTCCTGATGCCTGACTATGGGCTTTAAACCGAACCTGACCCATATTAAAATAGGGGTTTATGCAAAAAACAAAGCATAAGAGGTCTTATATTGGATGAAAAATTCACTGCCAGCATTTTGCATAAAGTAGACGCAGTTTCCATTTTTCACGCAGAATTTTGTTGATCAAAGTTACTGTTAGGATTTCAAAATAGGTCAACTCATACAATCATATATCTTGAGATATCTTTAGGTAATTTCACCCCATCTCTACATCCCAAGCCTGCTGTACAATAACTCGGTTACTAATTCAAAAAGCACATTCCATTTCATCTAAAATATTTGCAACAGACCGAGAGACCGACTACATATATCAAACCTTCTGTAAGTTCTTGGTTAATAAAGACATGTTTAGGAGAACACCAGGAAATTTCATATGAATTAAAATTTACATTCTGGTGGTACTGGAAGAACGCTAGGGGGTTTCAATCATCAAAGAAACAGATACTTCATGCAAAAAGAGCCACTTGATAAAACTTCAGATTATAGCAGGGGAATAGAATCAACTTACAGACAAGAATGTCGATTTCATAACTAGAAATCAATGTCCGAACCAACTTCAGAACCATGTTTGCTTCCTGCGGGTGTATTTCTGTGAGAAGTTCTCTTTGTGGGAACTAGCGGGTTAGCTTCTTCCTCATCAAAGGGAACTGGGGCGTCAATGTCTTCCTTTTGGAAAACTGGGTGAATATAGGCATCTTGAAGATAGCTCCTCAAATTTAAGTTTGGCTCAGTAGCCCGTTCTAATGTATCCTTCACCATTGCATCCTATAAAGAGAAGTTTTATCGAATATATATATATATATTTTTTAAAACATTGCACTCCGGAAGATAAAGTTCCAGGAAGATTGTCATCATTAAAATTGGATTTGATCTTCAGAAAAGTAACATATTTTACAAGTATATGGGCTGTGACGAACCTGTAATGGGAATTTTATGAATGCCGATTCAAAACGATTCTTGCAGTATATATGAAACCATATGGTTAATACAGGGAGAGCAAGGAGAAAGGGTGTAGACTGAGCTGCACGTTTTGTACTCAATAAACCCATAAGTAGAAGCTGTGATACTATCATTGCAGTAATCAGACGCCTTTGCACATCTGGCCAGAATCCTGCCGCACTCTCATATTTTTGGTTGTAGACATTTATAATCTTGCAACAGGAAAATCATGGGACTTCAGTACATGATAAAAGATGCATTGTTTGCTCTTGCGTGCACTATTTCATACAAAGATGATATGATCGTAGAAAACAAAAGGGATAGTATTCTAGAACAACAATGCCAATATAATTAATGCAAATAAAATAAAATAAATAAATAAAAGAGAAAAGACAAATAATTTAGTGGATATATCTCGACCAATTTATGATTAGATTAGGATAACTTGCAAGGTGAAGGGTCATGCATACTGATCAGTGCAAAGGCTTCCAAAGAATACTACATTTGATGTTCTTATCTATTGGGTTGATCACTTCTGGCTTCATATATCTTGCCGCTCGCTGATTGTTGATATTTTTATGCTTTTAAATCACCAGTTTTCAACATTACAGCCAGTTTTGCCCCAGCTTCAAGGTCTCAACAACCATGTATTTTCTTAAAGATTATGGTATTAGTTTCTTTTATTAGCTATACAAATTCTTAGTTATCTATATGATACCCGCTGGCCCGTTGGCGCGTGCAAGCCGTGGGC